ATTTTTTGGGGACTGAACTCTTTCTTTTTAATGAGAAAATCTTATTCAACAGGAGGCATATTTTTTTTTTTCAAGGTTCAATCTCCAGTTTTTCCCAAGTTTTCATCACACTGCATAACTAACCACTAGTGCTCTTAAATCAAGTTTAGACTAACTGTCAAGTTATAAAACAAACTCTGATAAAAGTTCCATTATTTTGTTTCAAGATGGATTTTTATTTTAATCAGAGAAGATTAATTACTTCCTCTTTTTCAGTGCGGCTGTAAATAAGACTTCATGAAAAGCTTTTTTCAGGAAAAGTAGTGAGAGTGATAAGAGATTGAGGAATAGACTTGTTTCCATTATTTGTGACATATAAATCCTACAATAAACACACCAAGCATTAGAATTTGGCCCTAGGTAGAGTGAATATGCTTCCTCTGCCCTTGTCCCTAATCAATTCCCTGTGCCTGGCTAACTCTTAGTTCATTTTGCCATTATTGCTGTTGGTCTTGTGTCGATAAGTGCCATTGAGTTGGTTCCGAATCATAGCAACCCAATATAGGGTTTCCAAGAAGTGGCTGGTGAGTTTGAACCACCTATTTTGTGGTTAACAATCCAGTGTTTATCCTACAGTGCTACACCAGGACTCTGATAGTTCTATTAGATGCCCCTTTTTTATTTCAGATATTCTTTCATATATTTAACACAGTGCTTTCTATTAAGGGTCATAAACCTTTCAGCAAAGACTAGTTTCTAGCTTCTCTTTTGCTTTAAAATATACCTCTCTGGTGAAACAATGAGTTCCCTCACCAGTATTTATCTCATTCTGATATACTTTTGGCTCAAAGGATTGGAAGTGGATTGTCTGCCTCTCTGTTACTAGAAGAGACAAATTTAATTTACTTTTAAAGTTACTAGTATTTACTTATGAATACTCTCTTTTCTGCCTCTCCACTTTCTCAGGTATGAATGATTTGGCTTCCTTAAATAGCTATTTTAGGGTCCATCAAAGATTTACCTTCAGTGTGGGTTACACCTCAATGTAAAGAAAACAAAAATTCTTACCACTGGACCAAAAACAACATTCATAAAAATGGAGAAAAGATTAAAGTGATCAAAGACTTCACTTTGCTCGGATCAGCCATTAACACTCATGGAAGCAGCAGCCAGTAAATCAAATGACATACTGCATTAAGCAAATCTGCTGCAGAAGACCTCTTTAAAGTGTTGAAGAGCAAAGATGTCAGCTTGAGTACTAAGGTGTGCCTGATCCTAGCCATGGTATTTTCAATAACCTCATAGCCACCTGAAAGTTGGACAGTGAATAAGGAAGACTGTAGAAGAATTGATACATTTGAGTTATGGTCTTACAGGAGAATATTGAAAGTACCATGGACTGCTAAAAGAAACAATAGATCTATTTTGGAAGAAGTACAGCCAGAGTGCTCCTTGGAGGCCAAGATGACCAAACTTCGCCTCTCATACTACAGACATATTGTCAGGAGGGACAAGTCACTGGAGAAGGATATCATGTTTGGTAGGGTGGAGTGTCAGAGGAAAAGAGGAAGACCCCCAACGAGATTGACTGGCCAAGTGGCATCATTGATGGACTCAAATGTGGCAACAGTAGTGAGGTTGGCCCAGGATTGGGCAGTGTTTCGTTCTGCTGTGCATAAGGTCGCTATGGGTCGGTACCGACTCGATGGCAGCTAACAACAACAACAACAACAACTGCATTAAGCAAATCTGCTGCAGAAGATCTCTTTAAAGTATTGAATAGCAAAGATATCAGTTTGAGTACTAAGGTGTGCCTGATTCTAGCCATGGTATTTTCAGTAATCTCATAACCATCTGAAAATTGGACAGTGAATAGGGAAGACCATAGAAGAATTGATACATTTGAGTTATGGTCTTGAAGGAGAATATTGAAAGTACCATGGACTGCCAAAAGAACAAAGCAGTTTATATTGGAAGAAGTACAGCCAGAATGCATCTTCGAAGCCAGGATGGCTAGACTTCATCTCTTATACTTCGCACTTTTTATCAGGAGGGACCAGTCTCTGGAAAAGGGTATCAGGTTTGGTAAAGTGGAAAGTCAGGGAGGAAAAAAAAAAAAAAAAAACACACAAGAAAAAAAATTCACACAGTGGCCACAGAAATGGGTTCAGGCTTAGCAACGATTGTGAGGTTCGTGCGGGACCGGGCAGTGTTCTCTTCTGTTGTGCAAAGGGTTGTTGTGAGTTGGTGCTTAGTCAATGGCACCTAAAAACAACAACATACATTTTGCAAGCTATGTGGATCATGGTTATGAATATTTTTTAATTTGATGATTACTCTTTAACACCAAAAATGTTTTTCAGATCCCCACTTGTTTGTAATATCTTTGACTGATAAAATGCATAACAAAATAGTGACTTGGTACTTAATAGTTATAAGTTAATTTGTATTTTGTTAATCACACCAATACTTCCATAAGTGGGAATTATAATTATTACATTCATATTGTTAGGCATTATTTAATCAAACTGTAGATGATGTTCTGTGTACGTTTGGATTATGAAACCCCTGCAGTATGATTTCAGACTGTTAAAGTCTGGGGATAGTATAGAATGAATTCCTCGTAAGTACCTGCCATGTTGTGCTTCTCATGTTTATACATTTTACTTTTATTTTGGTTATGAATTGGGCTGCGAACCGCAAGGTCAGCAGTTCAAAACTACCAGCTGTTCCGCAGGAGAAAGATGAGGCTTTCCGTTCCCGTATAAGATTTACAGCCTTGGAAACCCTGTACAGGGTTGCTATGAGTCGGCACTGACTCCATGACACTTAACAACAACAACAGTGTGATGTTATATTTGACCCATGAGTTGTTTAGAATTATCTGATGTTCCTGGTTTCTAAATTAATTACATACATGAAGGTCAGAAAATATAGCTAGATGATGCCAATCCTTGAGTTATGCTATTGTTTGTTTTATGACTTAGCAAATGATCAATTTCATAAAAAACTTTTTATTTTGAGTTAAGTGAAGGTTTACAGAACAGATCATCAGTTTTGCATTCAACAAATAATGTACACTTTGTTTAATAATAAATTATTGTAAATCTTCCTTCTTGTTGCTGTTAAATGTTAATCCGACTCTTAATATCTAGCAACCCTGTATAGGGTTTCCAAGGAGTGGCTGGTGGGTTTCAACTGCCGACCTGACAGTTAGCAATCTAATGCTTATCCTATAGCACCACATCAGGGCCCCCTTTGTTTCCTTATGGGACTTGAAAGTACTTTTTCTAATTGTTGAATTACTATACTATTCTAGGGATATCCATTAGATCAAACTAGTTAACTCTGTTGTTAGTTAAAATGCTCTCTATACCTACTGAGTTTTGCCTTTTGTATCAGTTACTGAAGGAGTTATATAAAGTACCCCACTCTGATGATGGTAGATTTCTGTGTTTCTTCGTGTTGTTTTGTCAATTTTTGTTTTATAAATGAGACTTTTAAAAGGTGATAAGTGTTGAAAACTATGATATTTCCCTGCTAAATGCATATTGACTCTACTTTTCTTTTCCTCTTGATGTTTTACCAAATCTTTTATCTAGTACTATTTCAATCTCATAACATTTTGCACCATATTTGTGAGTTGCAGTGAGGGCTTAAATGCTGCAGTATATGCTTTCTTCTGTTAAATGTGTCTCTTTAACAGTAGAGTTGTACATTTTGTTTCATTTTTGCATTGTCTCAAAATTGTTATCTTTTAAATTGAGATTTAAATCCATTTGCATTTATTGTAGCTATTGATGTATTTGCTTTTATTTCAGCCATCTTTCTTCTGTTTCCTACCTGTATCATTTCTGGTGCTGTTTTTATTTATTTTGGATTTATTCATTTGTTGTGGTTGTTGTTTTAAGCACTCCATTATTTTCCGGCATCCAGTGGTACAGAAATTAAGTCCTCATCAAGTCCTCATTGGCCATACCTTCAAAATGCTTATCCTATGTGACCATTTTTCATCATTTTCCCTACTGCCCCTCTCATCTGTACCACTGTGACCATCTCTCTCTCATCCGGTCCTCGTCAGTAACCTCTTCCTACTCAAAATGTAGTCATTTTTCCTCAAGCAACAGAAGGCATCTTTTAAAAATATAAAACTCTTTCGTCTACTTGAAACAATCCAATGACTTATAACACTCAAAATAAAACCCAAAGTCCTTCCCTAGTGGCCAATAGGATGATACTTGGGCTTGTCCTTGCTATATCTCTGAGCTCGTATTCTTTCTCTCTCCCTTTTCCATGCTCTTCTTAAGTTACAGTGACCTCTTGTCCTTCACACATGACAAGTTTACCACCTTCTTTCTCTTTAAAATGTTTTCTCACTTTATTTAGACAGCTGTCACTGTCTCAAAGGAGCTATCGCTGATGAACCTTTTTTAAATATCTGTATCAATTAGACACTGCTGCATAAAATTCTCAGTGGTACACACCTGCAGGTCAGCAGGGCCTGGGCTAATATATGTTGGGATTGATTCGCTGCTTTCTTTCAATTCAAGATTTGTCTAGATTGGCATTCTGGTACAGGTTAAACACATACCTCCTCCACGCCTGTAATTTTTGTATCCCTGAGTAGAGCAAGAATTAACACACTTGTCTAGTAACTGAAAGATTGGTAGGTCACAGTCCACACAGAGGTACCTCTGAAGAAATGCCTGGCAATCGACTTTTCAAAAATCAGCCATTAAAAACTCTGTGGAGTGTATTTTTACTCTCTTACACATGAGGTTACCATGAGTTGGAGTTACACATTATGGAATAAGATGTCCAATGAATATTTATTGACTAAATGAATGATGGAATGAGTAAGTGTAATCGAATTTTAAAGGACAAAGGAATTTTTTAAAAAAGTATAATGGAAGCTAAGTAATTCACTTCATCTGGACTTTTTTTTTTTAGCATGTGAAAGGATTGATTGAAGAACCTGAGGTGACTTTGCCATGTCTCCTGTTTTATTTTCACATGTGCAGATCAGAGAACAGGCATCTGCTTCTCAGGCCTGGTGAATGGTCGCTGTGCACAGGAGCTCCCAGGCCGAATGACGAAAATGCAGTGCTGCTGCGAGCCTGGCCGCTGCTGGGGGGTGGGAACCATTCCTGAGGCCTGTCCTGTCAGAGGCTCTGGTGAGTAACTGCATGCTCCAGCTCTTCAGGAGGACATTCTTAGGGAAATTAGAAGCACTTTGTGCTTTGTTTTAATTCTTCAAGTCAAGTCATATTTTTATTCCCGTTAGTATTTTCAATATGATTTGATGTGTTTTATGAAAGATAGATCAGCATCATTTATTTGGGATCAGTACTGATAATTCACAGTCTACTAATATAAAAAAAAAAAATTCTAAAATCTAATGACAACTTATTTTTGCTTTATTTTTTAAAGCTAATTTTGAATTCCAGAATTTTAGTTCAGTTTTAAAAACATCCTAATCTTTCATTCAAGAGTTTGAGTATCTTTGAATAACACAAGTCTACCCTCATTTATGAGGAGCTCTGGTAGTGTAGTGGTTACGAATCGGGCTGTGAACCACAAAGTCAGCAATTTGAAACTACCAGCTGTTCCGCGGGAGAAAGATGAGGCTTTCTGCTCCCGTAAAGATTCACAGCCTCAGAAACCCTGTACAGGGTCGCTATGAGGCAGTTCCAACTCCACAGCACATAACCACCACCACCTTCATTTATGGAAGCCTGGTGTGGTGCTGTGGGCATCAGACTGCAAAGTCATTTGAACTGCAAGGTCAGTGGTTCAAGTTCACCAGCTCTCTTTGGAAACGCTATATAGGGCCGCTATGGGTCGGAATCAACTCGATGGCACTTAACAATAACAACAGCCTTCATTTATGGAGTCCTGGTGTGGCTCCGTAGGATAAGTACTGGACTGCTAACCAGTTCAACCCACCAGCCACTCCTCAGAAACCCAATACAACCTTCATTTATATTTCATTCTTTAGTACCCTAATCTTGTAATATCTCAATTCTTGAAGATATTTTCTGTTGTTACTAATAGCATTGAAAATTAAAAATAAAAGATTAAGAGGATACCTTTCATTTGGCTTGCTATATTGGCTGCCATATAACTGAGGCTATGTTTGCAAATTATTTTAGGAAGAATGAAAAGGAGCTCCTCATATAATATGAACAGTAAAATACAATTAATATTTATCATATAAATGTTTATGTATTTTATTACATTACATTATCTTTTTTCATTGAACCCTGGTGGCTCATTCAAGCACTAGACTGCTAACCAGAATCTCTGTGGTTTGAACCCACTGCCTTGCTCCCAAAGATGTGGCAGTCTGCTTCTGTAAAGCTTTATAGCTTTGGAGACCATATGGAGCAATTCCACTTTGTTCTGTGAGATTACTATGAGTCAAACTTGACTTGGGGCAATGAGTGGAAAATCTTTTCACATTAAATTATAAACATGATAAAAATAATTAAATGTTTGAAGTTATACTTATAATGATATGTACCTCTGTATACTGTTATGGAGGAAAAAATAAATTCACACTTTCAAAGTCTGTAAGCCATAAAATACCAAAATCATGTGATTAAACAAAAAAGCACAGGATATGATTTTGAAATCTTACAGCTTTACTGGAGTCCTGATGTGGGGCAGAATGGCAAGCACTGAACTGCAAACCACAGGTTGGTGGTTTAAAAACAGCAGTCACTCTTGGAAAACCCTATACAGGGTCGCTATGAGTCAAAATTGACAGCGCTTAACAGCAGCATAGGTTTACAAGTAATAAATAGTGTTGTTGTAGTTAAGTGCCGTTGAGCCGGGTTCCGACCCATAGCAACCCTGTATAGGGTTTCCAGCAGCTTTGAACAGCCAATCTTGCAGTTCAAACTGACTTTGCAGTCCAGCGCATTAACACACAGCACCACACCAGGACTTACATAAAGTTTCTGAGGCTGTAAATCTTTATGGAAGTAGAAAGCCTAATTTTTCACCACAGAGCAGCTGGTAGATTTAAACTGCTGACCTTGCATTTAGCAGCCCAGATCATAATCCACTATGCTATCAGGGTTCCCCTATTAAATATTAATATTAATACTGAAATAGTTAGTCATGTTAAAGAATTTTAATTTCTTAAGATCCAGTTCCCAAATTCTGAGAACGATTAAGGAATTTAGGCAGTTGCTTACGTTATTGTTTTTATTTTTCGTTTCACCACTGTTATTTGACAAATAAGGAACGGATTTTAAAATTTACTGGACCTTGTCTAACATAGAAAACATTTATTCTAAAGCCATATTGATACTAAATCCCTTAAGGAGAAGAGAGGAAAAAGGAAAAATATGTAGGTTCAATAATAATGAGAATTCAAGTACAGCCAAATATGCATAATGAATTACCTAAAGATTTCATTTTCATTTATTTAAATAAATGTCTTACCTTTACAATTATGTGTCAGGAATTTTATGAATGTCACTGTGGTCAGTAAATCAAAATGTGCATGTAGGTAGTTCTTTAGTTATACAATTCAGCAAAAATAATTTTATATTTTTACTGTTGTTGTTAAGTGTTGTCAAGTCAGTTCTGACTCATAGTGACCCAATGTTGGATTTCCATGTTTGAACTGCTACAGGCCGTGTGGTTCAAACCAACCTTGTGATCAAGTGCTTTATCCTATAGCACCACACCCCAGGATTCCTTATAGAGTTTATAGGTTTTCACTTAATTTCTAATTTTGAATTATCTGTGACTTTTCCTGCTACTGCCAACACTAGAAATGCTTTATCAAGATACCCATCTTACTCATCCCATGCTATATAGATAATCTAAATGATCTGTTACAATATGCACATTTCTTTTACTAAACAGAAAGATAAAAACATATGTCTTTAACTGAGCTTTCTTTTCTTCTAGAGGAATATCGCAGACTTTGTATGGAAGGGATTCCAATAGGAGGGGTGCCTGGGAGTGCTGGTTCCAGACCTGGAGGCGCAGGAGGGAATGGCTTTGGACCAGGTGGGCCTGGCTTCATCCCTGTCCCTGGAGGCAATGGCTTTTCTCCTGGTGTTGGTGGAGCTGGTGTAGGAGCTGGAGGACAGGGACCCATCATCACTGGACTAAGTGAGTGTTCTAGTTACCTGCCTTAAGTGGTATTTATAATCTCTAACATCTTTTTAATTGTGTGTATGGAGCGTGTGTGTGTAAAAACCTATTCAAGGGTCAACTGTGTAAGGTAGTAATAAAAAATTCTTAGAAAATGTTTCATAAACTTTCTGTTACGCTGGAGAAATGAATGTCTGTGGCCTCTTTTTGGAAATACAAATGTGAGCTCAGTAATACGCCAGTCCAGATGACGTCCTCACGAAGAACATTTTTTGGTTGCAGTGTATTTCATTTGGCAGCAGGCAGCCACCCTGTTCATGTACCTCTTGAATTATTTTCCAGAACCATTTCTCAACTGAGATAAACTGAATTAGTCTTGCTCTGTGCCTGTCCAAATATTATCATGCAAATATCTTTCTTTTCCTCACTCTTTTTTGTTAAGTAACTTAAGAAATCGAGAACTGTGGGCTTCTGGCCAGAAGTGGCTTTGGTGTACTTGACATTTCAGTTCATATTTTTTTAAAGAACTGCTCTTGCTTATATTATTTAATGATGTCCCACAGTGTTATGTTTATTCCTTTTGGCATATTGCCTATTTACTTTGTCTGAATATTCAGCAGAGTTGCAAAAAGGAATAAGAAAAGCCTCAGATGTATAGTAGAAAATTCCTGAAATTTAAAAAAAGGCATCATTATGGGCAACAT